TCGTTTCCAAACTTATATGAATGATTCAGCCAACTTCATTAAGACTTTAAAGCTAGGACTCCTCAAGTAAATCAAAGTAAAAAATAAGAGCTGGTAGGAAAATTGCTAGCTTTAGAATATATTTGAGGAAAAGGAAAATTTATAGTGATTAAAGCTATAACTGTTCCACATTTCTCATTTTTCTACCAAACTGTTCAAAATAAGTCATTTAAATTATTTACTTGTCAAATCTAAACTGGTGGTTATATTTAGTAATTTTAGCCAGTGAAAATACAGGATGCCCAGTCAAATTTTAGTTTTATATGCCAAATACTTTTTAAAATATGAGTGTGTCCCATGCAGTGTTGGGAAAATGTATAGTATTTGGGACATATTTTACTAAAAGAATATCTTTATCTGAAATTCAGCTTTACGTGTTGTTTATTTTATTGACAACTCAACTGTATTGAAAACATAAGTCCAAAGAATAAAGTATATTTTTTCTCCTAAGAAAATTTGAGGGTCATCAAGAACTCTTCCTCTTAGAAATAAAGTGATTTGTGGAAAATGTTATGTAAACCACAAAAGATTATTATAAATGTAAGTAAAAATACATGAAAAATCTTTAAAATAAGAACTAGAAAACAAAGTCAATTCTGTATCCCTTAGCTTTCTTCAAAGTGAAGGTAAAGCATTTTTGTACATTGTTGAAGATGTGTAAGAAAAAGACACCACAAACTAAAGCAAATAATAAATATAACCCCTAAATTAAGGTTATAAACTAACCAAATTAATGCTGAGTTATATTAGGTATTTATTGGTAAGTAGTTCAAAAGGAAGTTATGCCTTTAGAGGTAATATTAGAAAATACATGGAATATTTTTCTCATATCCCTTCTAGATCAGCACTGTATTAGGAAAATAAGTTAAGCTGCATATTTAATTTTAGATTTTCTAATGGCCATATAAAATACTAAAAAATAAGTGAAATTAATTTTAATAATATGCTGTTGTTTTGGCATATAATCCTTATTTTTAAATTAGTTCTATTTTACATTTAAGGGTTTTGTTCTGTTGTCTTAAAGTCTTCAAATCTGGCATGTGCTCCACTCTCATAGCATACCACAACTGTCCCCCATGGTTTGGACAAGGCGCATTTCCAGTGCTCTGCAGCCACATGTGACTAGTAGTGGCCATGTGGGACAGCACAGCTCCAGTTGCATGTGCCATCTACTTGCTCTCATGTTTGTTGATAGAACAGTTATTGAGTATGAAAGGAGACATAGATCCAGATACCCATGACGCCAGTTGGTTATTAATCTGTATGTCAGATACGTGTTCGCAAATTCACATTTAGTTAGATCATGAATTTTTAGTTAATGGCATTTACCCACTTGGAATGTGTAATATTGATATCTTGTCACAGACTCATAAGTACCGTGCTTGATTTTCTAACCCTATCAATGACCCAGCATATAATTTTAGTTTAATGTGTGTTTAACATATTTTTGAATGTCTATTTAGTGTCAGAGTTGGAATAAGCATATTTACTCTGTGAATTAAAATATTTGAGTGATTTATTAAACTTCGGTATTTTAGGTACTATATTGAGGCTGAAAGGTGCAATCTTGAGAATGGCATTCCTGGATACGACAGGCTGCTTAATGCCACCTGCTTATGAACCCTGGAAAGAACACAATGTTCCTGAAGAAAAAGATGAAAAGGAAAAATTAAAAAAAAGGCGGCCTGTCTCAGTGTCCCCCTCCTCTTCTCAGGAAATTAGTGAAAACCAGTATGCAGTGATATGTTCTGAAAAGCAAGCAAAAGTAATCTCACTGCCAACCCAGAACTGTGCTTATAAACAAAACATTACAGAGACCTCATTCGTGCTTCGTGGAGATATTGTAGCATTGAGTAACAGTATCTGCCTTGCCTGTTTCTGTGCCAATGGCCATATTATGACTTTCAGGTAAGAATGAGTTTTTTGTTTTGTTTTGTTTTATTTTAACACAGACATGGCCTTTCCTATCTCAGATCATACTACAGAATTATGTTCGGTTTGAAAAAAATCCTTTTTTGTTTGTAGTATTACATACTCAAAATTTATTTTTATTCAGTTAGTGAACAAGTATATGAGAAATGTAAATAATTTTTTATCCCCCACTCAGATGTATAAACTAAATCATAAGATTTCCAAAGTCTTTTGCCATTTTAACTTCTGTAATATTCTGTTCAATACTAAAACCTACCATGCTTTTGTTAACAAGTTTTAATTTTTTTCTCAAGCTTGCCAAGCTTAAGGCCTCTGTTGGATGTATATTACTTGCCCCTCACCAATATGCGGATAGCCAGAACGTTCTGCTTCACCAACAATGGACAAGCATTATATCTTGTTTCACCTACAGAAATCCAGAGACTTACATATAGTCAAGAGACCTGTGAAAATCTTCAGGTAAATAACTAAGCTATTGCTATAATATCTTTATAGGTAAAGAATTCTCTAAAGTACGTTATATTGTCTGTCCCTTTCTCACTGAAGTATGTGAATGAGCTTATTTAGGAAATGAGCTTATTTATTAGACACTTTGAGAGTCCTGTGATAAAATTGCCTTCGTTCTAGTTTTATTACATGGAGGAATTCATCTTATTGAGTCATACTTGTCTTTCCAGGAGTAGAAAAAGAAATATGAAATGTCACATGCATTTTAAACTCCTCCACATAGAATTAAATACCTATTATAGATAAACATACAGGTCATTTTAAAGAAATGTATCAGGGTGAAAATAATTGTACCTATTTCTGGGCAAATTGTGTGAGCCTGTTGTACATAACTTTGTATTCACAAAGATATTTAAACATGCTTGTAAATATAATATTTATGCATATTCATACATAAGTTTTCTCTAATTTGTTTTATTTTTTTGTTTGTTTGTTTTTTGGTACCAGGGATCGAACTCAGGACCTTGTGCCTGCAAGGCAGGCATGGTGCCATTGAGCTAAATCCCCAACCCTCTAATTTTGTTTTTGAGAGACAATGAACACATGCATTAACATGTTCTTGTTTTGAGCCACCAGTAGCATATGAATAACAGTCCCATCGAGTGGTTTGTACCACTGCTGGAACAAACGGATCTGATGACTTTTATCAGTCTTTTCACTAGCAAAATTAATGAAAAGCCACCCAGTTGGACAGTTATGCATGTACCAGTGGTGGTTCAAACCACCTGGCAACGAGACATATAAACTATGACCCTGTCATGAACATGTTAAATAAAGGACTATGTCTTCTTTAGTGTTTGAGTGTCCTATGTGCTTACATGTAATGACAGTGATCAGTGTGACTGTACTTTCTAAAGTAAAGATGTTCTTGAAATACTGATTGACAGTCAGGTAAAACTTTAAAGGGACTGTATAGTAAAGTTTTTGCAGTTTATTAGTCTTCCTTGGTAAATCGGAGTTTACTACTTATTTATAAAACACAAACTTTAAAGTCAAGAAGATTTAAGTCAAGTTCATCTTTGTATACTATGCAACTATATGATTTTAAACAAGTTACATGCTGTCTCTGAGCCTCACCTTACTTAAAATTAGAAGAAAAGTAAGTACATATCTCAGACAGTATGGTATGGACTATAGAAGGTGATAGATATAGTTTTGCCAACTATGCCTATTATAAAAGTGCTTCATAAATATCATATGTTATTGTTGGTACTTCAGTATGCTTTGCTAAAATGGAAATTTAGTCCTGAAGGCTGTAAACCTTGAGAGTAAAGCAAAATTAAATATGACATTTTAGATGTAAGTTCTCATTTATTTTTGAGTGAATGTGGTTTTTTAGAGTTTGATAGTTTCTGACATAACATTTTGCTTTTTATCTAGAAGATAAATCTCAAAATTTTCCTGTTAGTGTTTCTTTTGCTAGTAAAATCTATTTTTTAAGAAATAGCATGGACAATTGACATATTCTTAATTCACTTCTATCTAAAATTTATATTCTTGGGGTCAGGGATTTAGCTCAGTGGTTCTGCCCCCTGCCTCACAAGCTCAAAGACCCAGGTTTGCTCCTTGTGTACCAAAATAAATAAATAAATAAATAAATAAATAAATAAATAAATGAATGAATGAATGAATGAATGAATAAAATAAAAATAAATAAATAAATAAATAAATAAATGAATGAATGAATGAATGAATGAATAAAATTTCTATTCTTAAACTATACAAGATTCTAAATTTTGTCACTTTACTGAGATCAGTTTATTCTATCCTTTGATCATAGCTATTCTTTAGTGAAAGTCGATAGCAGCTGTAGTAAATTTTACTTATGTTTTATTGTGAAGCTGTTTTTTTAGATGTAAACTATTTCAGTAACTCTAGTATATGCCTTCATGAATCAAAAATAAATGAAAAATGAATACTCAAGTTTATGATTGAATATTTGGGGACAATATTAGCATTTTGCTTACCTCCATATTTTCAGTATGTAGAAAAAATTGCCTTGGTAAAAATCTGTCAAATGAAGATTCCTATGAACTTTGCAAATACTATTTCATGGTTTCTTGAATGTCCTTTTACATTTTGCATTCATTTAACTTTAGCCAAAAACGTAAAAAGGTGCTTACAGACAATGAATTTTCTAGCCAAGTTGAAATCAGAGGGAACAGATTAGCCTTTCTTCCTGAAACAACCTAAGAAAGACAAGCAAAATACAACAAAACTCAAAAAATTATAGTGTTCCAAGATCCTGGACATCAGGCAAAGAAGAGCAGTCCCTAGAGAGAGGAAACAAACAAGGTGTCCCAGCTATAATGGGACTGACTTGTGAGGACATGGTACACAGAGAAGATACTGAGGCAAAATCTGGCAGAACTAAGAGTCTGAAAACACCAAGTAAGTTAAAAAGGAAAGCTACAAAGAGAGAGAACCTTGGAAATCTGTAGGGCATCCCCTAACAGTGTTCAGTGGTATGCTGCTTGGCATGAGGATGTGACTAAACCCTGTCCAGAGAAAGAACCACCTGAAAGAAATAACCATGCTTAGGACCTGGGCCAGAAACAGTGCCTATTTCAACAGCTAGATTAGAAAAACTTGCAGTTTTGGGGTATTTTAGTTTCCTGGGGCTTTGGTAATTAATCATCACAAATTTGGTGGGGGGAACAGAATTTACTTGCTCATACTTCTAGAAAAGCAATTTTATTAAGCCAGAGGAAAGCTCTTAGGGCCTTATTACCTCCAGAAGCTCAAGAAAAATCTGTCCCTGATAGCTTCTGCCATTCCTTGCAGCCAATCTCCAATCTCCAATCTCTCTGCCTCCGTGGCCACATGGCCATGTTGCCACCTTTTTTCTATACATGTCACAGTTTCCTCTGCCTTTCTGTCTTAAAATGGATTTACACCTCATCCAGATAATACAGGATAATTTTCCCAGGACAAGATACCCAATAACATCTGCACAGACCTATTTTCCAGACCAGATAAGATTGGTGGGTTGTAGGGATTAAAAGCTGATATCTGGATGATAGTTTTTCAGCCTCTACTCTAGACCTGCATAACAGATTGCAAAAGTATGACCCAAAATGCCTAAAATGTTTTAGTATACCTTAGTGAAGCTCAAGAAAACTTAGAGGAAATAAGCGATATCCAGCACCCAACAAGTTAAAAGTCATAGGGCCCATCATGCAACCAGGCATGCAAAGATACAGAAAAATAAGATCCATGCTGGATGGAGGATGTTAATGAAGCCAGAATGGACATAAATGTTAGCATTCATGCAGAAGTATATGAAACCAGTATTATTGCTGTATTCCAGATATTCAAGAAGTTAGAGACATGGAAGGTATGAAAGATCAAAGTTAGAATTCTGAAAGTGATACTGAGGATTTAGCTCAGTGGTGTCACCACATGCCTGGCAAGCACAAGGTCCTGAATTTTATCCCCAGTACCAAAAAAAAGAATTCTGAAAGTGAGAAGCTGTAGTACTTGAGGTGAAAAACATACTGAATGACATTAACATCATTTGCAACATTGTAGAAGAAAAGATCAGTGAACTTGAAAATGTGACAATAGGGAAAATTAACTGTGTGTTTAGATATAGGGGCAAATTTATAACACTAAAATTCCTGTATTAGAAAAGGAAGAGATCTCAATGTAGTTACCTCAGTTTCCACTTAAGAAACTGAAAAAAAAAAAGCAAATTAAACTACAGTTAACAAAACAAATAAAGTAAAATCCAAAGGATAATCAGTGAAACAGAAAACACAAAAACAGGAAAACGCTAATGAAACCAAAGGCTGATTCTTTGAGAGAATCAGTATAGTGTAACTGAACTTAAGATAGACTGATTATGAAGAGAAGATACAAATTACCAGTATTAGGAATAAGAGAAGTGGGCCAGGGTGGTACTGCTGCCTGCCTTGCAAGTGCAAGGTCCCAAGTTCAATCCCTGGTACCAAAAAAGGGCGGGGACAGGAATAAGAGAAGTATCATGTTACTAGATATATTCTATAGACATTATAAACAATTTTACATCAGTAAATTTTAAAACAGATAAAATAGACAACTTCCTTTAAAGACACAAAGTATGAAAGCACACCCAAGAAAAGATATATAACCTGTTACATCCTATTTTTATTAAATTGAAATTGAGGTTAGCAACTATGGAACAAAGAAAAGTTCCAGACCTGGTGGATTCTCTTTTGAACTCTATCAACAGTTCAGGAAGAACTAGTACTAGTTCTATACAGCTCTTTTGCAAAAGATTGAAATGAGAGAAATACTACACTATTGATTCTATGAAGCACGCATTAATTAACCGCCAAAACTGAAGAGTCATTATAAGAAAAGGAACCTACATGTAAACCAATATCCCTTATAAAAATAAATGCAAAAATTCTAAGCAAAATTCATTTCAGCAATATAACAAAAGGATAGTATGTAATGGTTCTGTGAGATTTATCCCAGGAAAACAGAATTCACTTAACATTTGAAAACCACTGTAATTCATTGTTTCAATAAATTTTTTTTAAAAAATGAAGAGCAATTGAGAAAATCTATCATCCATTCCTGATTTTTAAAATAGCAAACAAGGACTAGAAGAGATTGTAGAGAACGTATAAGAAAAACTATGCCTGGCATAATACTTAAGGATGAAATACTGAACTTTTTATTTTTAAAGATATAAAAGGATGTTCACTCTCATCACTTAAATTCAGTGTTGTTTTTAAGATTCTAATGAGAACATTTAGAAAAAGAAGGGAGTGAGGGAGGGAGAGAATTACCACTAGAAAGGAAAAAGTTAAAACGCTTTATTTATAGATGGCGTGGTCATCTACATGGGAAATCTGATAAAATCTACTCAAAGAGCTACTAGTTTTGCAAAGATGGAGGATATGGGAGCAATACACAAAAATAATTCCTTATGTGTACAGTAGTAATGAACATTTAGAAGCTGATATTTTAAAAAATAGGATCATTTTCAGTAGCAACAAAAATATTAAATACTTTTGGATAAATCTGACAAAAATGTGAATGATCTCTACACTGAAAAACGACAAAGAATGATTGAAAGAAATACATTAAAACCTAAATAGAAGCCAGGTGTTGTGGCGCATGCCTGTAATCCCAGCACTTGGGAGTCTGAGGCAGGAGGATCGCTGTGAGTTCGAGACCAGCCTGGGCTACATAGTGAGTTTCAGGTCAGTCTCAACTACATAGTAAGACCCTGTCTCAAAAAACAAAAACAAAACAAAACGAAACAAAAAAATGCCAAATAGAGATATATACCTTGTTCATGGATCCAGAAACTCAATACGCTTAAGATACTGATTCTTCCAAAACTATCTATAGGCTTAACACAATCCAATCAGAATCCCAGTAGTGTTTTTTTGTTGTAGTAATTCACAAGTTTATTCTAAAATTCATATGTAAACGCCAGATAATTAAAATAGACAAAAATAACTCTGAAAAACTTGATGAGTTAATACCACCACATTATAAGAATTATAAAGTTAAAGTAATCAAAACAAAATGATGTTGGCATCAAGTTAGAAAATTAGGTCAGTGGATCAGCAATGAAAAAGAGAAACTGCTGTTCCAATAAATGCTTCAGGAGCTACTAAAATCTGAAATAAAAAAAAAACTTGTGTCCATATATAGAAATTTACTCACAGTGGATTTTGGACCTACATGTAAACCCTGAAACTATAAAACTTTCACAAAGAAACATAAAAGAAAATATCATGAACAGTTTTTTTAGCCATGTCAACAAAAATACCATCTTTAAAAGAACAGTTGATAACTTTAACAAAATTTAAAACTTTTGCTCTTCAAAAGACAAGAAATTAAAAATGATAGGCCACAGACTAGACTAAAATATTGGCAAAGTACATATGTAGAATAATCCTGAATCTTGAATATATAAGAGACTCAAAGGGAGGGCAAAGGAAGATGATGGGGGAGTGAGAGTGATAAAGCGTGTTATATGCATGTTTAAAAACCAGAACTGAACCTGTTCATCTCTGTAACCAATTTTAAAAAAAAGAAGAGATGGGGGCCACACAAAAGAGACTCCTAAAACCCAGCAGATGGAAGACAACCAAAACTATGAGCAAAATATTCTTAAGGATTACTTCACTTTGAAAAGATGCTCAGCATCATTCATCATTAGAGATGTAAATTAAAACTCTAGTGAAATATCATTAAGCCCCTATTTGAATGGTTAAAATTAAAGAGTACCATGACTAGTTTTGAGTAAGGTTGTAAAAGATAACAGGACTCTCATGCAATGTTAATGGAAATATAAAGGAGTACAACGAAAACAGCACTTTCTTTAAAAGTTAAACATTTGTGAATGAAAGATCCAGCCATTCTACTTATAGTTGTTTTGTATTTTTTTTCTTAAAGCAAAAGGAAATTTATATTTATATTGTTTTTGTTTTTCTCGTTGTTGTTGTAATAGCCAAAACCTTCAAACCATCCAAATGCCCTGGACAGTTGAATTGATACAAATTATAATATATTCGTACAAGAGCATATGACTCAGCAATAGAAATGAATAAACTGCAGATACAATCAGCACATTGTTGAGTCACAGAATAACTGTGCTAAGTAAAAGAAGCAATCTTATGAAGGGTATATATTACATAATTCCTTTTATATAAAGCTCAAGAAAGTGCAAATTAATCTAATGAGGAAAGCAGACAAGCAGTTATTTGAGGGTGGGGAAGAGTATCGATAAAAGGTTTTACAAAGGGACACAAGAAAACTTGAGAATGATAAATGTTTACAATCTAGATTATGGTGAAGATTTCATGGGTTTATACAAATGGCAACTTACCAAATTATATACTTTAAATATGTACAGTTTTGCTATTTCAGTTATACTTGAAAAAAGCTGCTCAAAAAATTAATGGGCTTAAGAATTTTTATGATTAAGAGGCAGTCAAAAGTACATATTTATATATTTAAATGTTTAAATTCTGTTATATAGTAATATTTGGACTATACTGTAAAGAGCAAACATAAAAAACCTATTTTTTAAATCAATTTGATTCATTTGTAAGCTTTAAAGCTTACCACAATCATATAAATGGAACATACCATTTAACTCATTTTAAACAATTAGGTTAATAACTTTGCTGAGCACAAGATTATAATTTATTAAAAAACCCAAATACTTACTGTAAAAATAATTGATAAATTAGTAACTTTTCTTAAACATATATATTCATTCAGTATGAAATTTACTGCTATACTTATCTTGCAGATATTTATTTTTCCAGACTCAATTCTCATTCAAAATAATTAGAATCAGTGTTATTTTATGTACTATAAAAAGTTTACAATGATAACCAAAACTCATATATTGGCACATTCATTAAATTGGTCCTACAGTTTATTGCCTAAGCTGGTTAGCTTACATAAAAGACAAATGAGATGCAAGGATCTAAAATAAGGCAAGCATACTTTACTCTGTATTCATATTTTAGATGAGATAGTCACAGCTGAACAGGGTTGGTGTCATCCTAGTCCTGTGATACTGAGGCAAGAAAAGATTATAAGTTTGATTGCACCGTAGGCAGTTTAGCAGTTTAACAAGTCCTTGTCTCAGAATAAAATAAAACAGGATGTAGCTCAGTACAAAGGCTCTGGGTTTAATCCACAGAAAATCCACGAGAAAAAGAAAAAGAAAAAGGTCGCAGGTACTGTTTCATAAATATAATTTGTTATGCATATAGGAAGATACAAATCTACTTTCATCAACATTTACTAATTAATGTTATAATAAATTTAAGTATAGCAGAAATTTTTATTTAAATACATATGAAAGGACTGGGGATTTAGCTCAGTGGTGCTGCTGCCTGCCTCACAAGTGCAAGATCCCGAGTTCGATCCCTGATACAAAATAAATAAAAATAAATACACGTGAAAACTACTTAAAGGTATTATTTAATATTTTCCCCAGATGTTAAGATGTTATGAGATGTTTCAGAAACATCTAATATTTACTTTTGAACTGCCTTTAAAAATGTCTGTTTATAAGGTGTTAATCTGTTGTCTAATGACCTGCATATTTTCTGACTTCACTAAGAAATCCTTTCTATATGAAAAATATTTCTCTGTTTTTATGTTTATATCATTGGTGTCTACTTTGGGCACTTATATACTTATTATTGTTAATCTTACTAATGTTCCAAAGAAACCACTTTTTAAAGTTGAAGAAAACATTTCTCTTGAGAGACTCATGTGTAAGATTCCTCTGCTAGTAAAAGACACAGGTGAGAATATAACCCAGACCTATATACTTCCAGAATTTGTTCTTTCTGTTATGTCAGATATTCCTCATAGATATGATTGATTTTTTAAAAATTCTTACTTTATGTGCATAAAACCATAAGCTCATTAAACACCAGTACAAACTGCAATTTTAAAATGAGGTAAAGTTTAAAAGCAAATCTTTATCCTATCACCATTTATATTTACATCATGTTTGATTTAGCACAAATAGTATCTTGCTATTATTGTTGTATCAATTTAATAGATACACTTTAAGTTGGGATCTTTGAAATACAATTTCAAAAAGTTGGAAATATGCCTAAAATTATCCTTAACATAGGGTGTACTATAAATTTCAGTATAATAATAGATTCAATATATTGTATGATAAGTTTTAACCAGTTTTATATATTTGTTGAATTCCTGAAGGTTTTATTCCAGGTTTACTCTATTTTAAAGAAATAAAGAGGGAAGAAAATAAAAATCTGAGGATTTCAATCTATTTCAGTATTGTAAATGAAATTCTATGTCATGTAATGTTAATTATTGTCTCCTGTTACAGTCTGGCTGGAAAGATATTAATATGGATATATTTAAAAGTAAAACCTTGGGCTGAGGGTTTAACTCAGTGGTGCTGCACCTGCCTCACAAGTGCACAGTCCTGAGTTCAATCCCCAGTACCATAAAAACAAACAAACAAAAAGTAAAACCTTTGTACATCCTTTATTAATTTTCTTAGCTTAACCCTGAAGAAGAAACATGAAAAGTACCTATTTTCACTCCAACTGTAATACAAAAGTACAGAAGAACTCCTACCTACCTAGAGCTGATAGTGTACTAGGCCTTTATATAGTGACTACTTCTACTTATATAGTAACTACTTTTATACCTTCCTGAAGCTGCTTTGTAAATAATGTTGCTACTGTTCTTGTAGAATATGTCTTCCTTCTTTGTATATTATTGATAAAAATCAGTAACATATCAGCAATCAATCTTCTTTTCAGACTTGGTTTTACTATTTCTGTCTTCTGAAGAATGTTGACAGTAATTTCAGGAAAATCTTAACAGAGTAAAGCAAACCCTTCCATCTTCCTAGTAGATTTCTGAAATTTCAGGTATAATTCTTTCCCTAGCATATGTTCATGCAAAAAAGAAAATTGCTGTGACTGCATCACTAATTTTCTGACTCAGGTAGGGATTATAATTCTAAACTTTATTATTACTAGTATTACACAGGACTTCTTGACCTGCTAGTAGAAAATTTTCTTCTTTCTAAGACCTAGTTATTAATCTAATTATCAATTCTTTCTGAGTTATATGAAAAAGTTATATTGAGGATTAAAAATCTTACAGCCTAAGCAGATATATTAATTTTACCTGAAATGGAAAGGAAATATAATCTAGTGAAAATAGGTATACTCTTTAATTGTCAGTACTACCAAATCTGATCATTTGAAATGTGCTCATTAATTGTGAATCTCAACAGTTAATTGTCTAGATTATATTAGAGTTTACAACAATGGTTTTGTTAATCAATTTAGTCTCCCTGAAGCTTTAACAATGAAACTTTGTTTTTATTTGAAAGGAAATGTTGGGTGAACTCTTCACTCCTGTAGAAACACCTGAAGCACCAAACAGGGGATTCTTTAAAGGCTTATTTGGAGGTGGTGCACAATCTCTTGATAGAGAAGAGCTATGTAAGTTGATTTATTTGTTTGTCTTTAAGATAAAAACATTCAAGCCATATAAATTTTTATATGTATAAATTATGTTCACTTTTTCTCTTGGTCTCAATAATTAATATACCCACATTTTAACAAAATACGTAGAAATATTTTGTCATTCTCTCCCAAATCAGGAAAATATTTCTTCAGGGGACTAAAATCAGAATGCTTTAGAAGCAGAAAAGAAATATTCACAACTTTCAATGAACAATTCAGAAAGTATTTTTATTTACATTAAATGTCTTCATTATTTTATTCCTATGATTGTCTTTCACTGATGAGTATGTTAAATCAGATTTCCATGTCTGTGAGAAAAAAACCTAAGAAAATAAACTTAGAAGAAGGATTTATTTTGGCTCAAAGATTCAGAGGTTTCAGTCCATGGTTGAGTTAATTTTGTTGTTTTTGGGCATGTTGGAAGGCAGAACATTAGGATGGCCCATATGGCATATGGGATAGATGGTATATGGTAGAGCAAATTTACTTACCTAATGGTAAGAAGAAATTAGAGGAAATGAATGAAAAACCATGGTCTTAGTATCCTTTCCAAGGGCAAGCCCTAAGTGACGCATCCTCCCTACATTAGGCCCCAATTCCTGATGGATCCTACACCACTCTCATTTGAGAAACCAAATCTTCAACACATGAGCCCTTAAGATCCATGCCATTATATTCCTTCCCTGGCCCTCAAAGGCTCATGTACATCTTGTAGTACAGGGAATATTTGCATAAAATTTACCAGTTGAGCATCTCTAATTAAAAATATCTGTAATCTGGAATATTTCAAAGTCTGAAATTTTTTGAGTGTCATGTTAGCACTGAAAAAGTTTTGGATTTTGGAGTTTTAGATTTGAGTTTATCAATTCATTTATGTTCAAGAACGTAAGTATTATGCCTGGACATTTTATCAGATAACTGAAGATAATAAAAATAAGTAAAGTAAATTAAAAAAAAACTAAAATGGATTTCTTTGACTGAAAATTTGAAAAAAAAATTGTTAAAAATTCTTTAGATGAGCCAGGGATTTAGCCCAGTGGTGCTGCCACCTGCCTTGCAATCAAGTCCTGAGTTCTATCCCCGGTACCAAAAAAAAAAAACTAGATGGATGTTAAATACAAAGTAAGAGAGAATTATATAACTTAATTAATAGAAATCTTCCAAAGTATAGCAAAGAAAAAAAAAGAGTAAAATTCAGGGCTGTGGATTTAGTTCCATAGTTCTGCCACCTGCCTCACAAGTACAGGGACCTGAGTTCTATCCCTGGTACCAAAAAATTTTTTTAAAAAATTCAGAAGACAGGATTTAAAAATAGAAATTGCTCTGAAAATATATAACATGTTTAAACCTTGAGTGGAATAAGAGTATGAAGAAGAATCAATATACAGTATAAAGACATATGCCTGAAATGTTTTTAAAATAAATGATTATGTACAAATTCAAGAAACCTATTAAGTTTCAAAGATATGTTTAAACTTCTCAGGTAGATGTATCTTATGAAAATACACACTACAGACAGTCTTTAAAGTGGCTAGAGAAAAATGACAGAATGCCTTTTAAAAAGCTACAGACTGAGCAGGATGTAATGACACAATGCCTGTAATCCCAGCACTTGGGAAGCTGAGGCAGGAAGACTGCCATGAGTTCAAGGCCAGCCTGGACTACATAGTGAGATCAAGCCCAGTTTGAGTGACATAGCAAGACCCTGTCTCAATAAATAAATAAATAAAACTATAGACCAATAACTGACTTCTCAATATACGATAGGATGATCTATATACTGGCTGTAATTAATGGAAGGTATTTTCATTTCATATAAAATTATAGATTAAGATACTTTCAGGCAAATGAACAAATAAATAAGCATTGCTACCACACTAAAGGGAGTTCTAAAGAGTATACTTCAGATAGAAAGAATGTAATCCTCTGTGGAATGTCAGAGAGGTAGAAAACAATGATTTTGAAAGAAAGTAATAGATATATTCATAAGTACTTCTTACTGTGTCTTCAAAGGGGAAAGTGAGCAAGCTAGCTCTCTGACTCTTGTAGCGGCACTATTCCCATTCAGGAGGGCTAAGTACCTCTCACATGTCCCACCTCCAACATCACATTGGGAATTTGATTTCAATATATCAACTTTATATAACAGAAGCAAGAAATTGATTTTTAAGCAGAAAAAGTAAAACTAATAAACCTCTGGTGAAACCAAGCAAGAACAAAGGAAGGCAGAAATGAAAAAAAAAAGGTATCACTGTTAACCATTTTAAAAAATAATTTCACAGTAAAATTTTTGAAAATTTTGCTGAAATAAATCACCATATAACAATGTACAAAAACAGTAATAAAAATCTAAATAGCACTATAACTATGTAGTATTGAAACTGTTATTTCATACTTTTCTACAAGTAAACTCCTGCCACAAAATGGGCTTCACTAGTAAGTTCTACCAGATATTTAGAGAAAAAAAATTATTGTACTTCTATATAAAACTCTAACAAAACAGAAAAAGAAAATACTTATTTTGTGAGGTTATTATAACTTTAACACTAAAGCCAAACTAGTACAAGAAAGGGGGCAAAAAATAAATATTACCCATTAATATAGATACAAAAATTAAACTGTAGTATTAGTATGCCACATCCAACATTTAATAATAAATGCAATATGCCAACCTCATACTTGGTTTGTACCAAGAATTCACAGTTCACTTGCCTTTTTTTTTTTCCAGCTTTAATTGAGTTTATTGGTACATTTTTAGAGATACAGTACAGTTACATTCATTGCTGGGATCTTGTACCTCTACATGACAAGTCTTGATTCTCATTTTTTCCCCTTACCCCTGCCCTCCCTTCATCCCTCCTCCCCTCCCCATCTACAAACACTTTATTTTCATTATCTCACATTTTTTTCTTTTCCCTTATTACCCTTCCCCTACCCATCCCACCTTCCCTACACCTTTAGCTCCTTTCTTCCCATTTCTAAATGTCAGTAATCTTATTAGGATCTTATGTATTATTGCAGATTATTCACACCAGGGAAACTATTCGGTATTTACAC